ACTCCGTGCGACCCCATAGACGGCAGCCCACCAGGCTCCTCCGTCCCTGGGATTCTCCAGGCAAGAACACTGGAGTGGGTTGCTGCCCGAGTAGAATTGGTGTTCTGTTTACAAGAAAGAAGAGCAATTGACAGCTGGGTTGGCAACCAGCAGTGTTTGCTGTTAAGAAAACATCCTTTCACAGGGAGAGGATGGATCATGGGGGAGCAAACCAGAGACTTTAAAGAATGGGACAAGCCCTCAGTTTAAAAAGAACAATTAAATTTTACATTTGATATTCACAACAGAGATGTGACATCCACCATTTATTTACCAACTTTTGACAGAAAGCTGATTGCTTTGGAGATCATACACAGGGCATCAACAAGATGTAGGCAATAATTATGATGATGCTGGCCCTAAAGTACTCTTACTGAGTGCTTACTATATGCCTCACACTTTACATTGATTATCTCAGTTAATCCTCAAAACATAAATGAGATAGATAGATGTTATTAATATTTCCATGTTATGAAAGAGAAAATTGGGGTGTATAGCAGTTCAATAACTTGCCCGAGGTCCCTAGTAACAGCCAACTCAGGGCTGTCTCTTCCCAAAGTCAGTGCATTCACTGACTGCCTCCTTAGGTTAAAAAGAAGCCACTGGGAAGTTTTACTATATCCCAGAGGTAGGAGCGATCGTATCTAAGTATGGAAAATTTGCTGTCACGAGCTTTCTGTCTCCACCAGTGTTTTGAGTTTTCAGTATTTCATTTTTCCACACAACTTTGCATCCCAAGTACATCCAATGGACAGCCCATTCCTTCCAGCTTTACACTCTTGTTTGCAAGCTCACTGGCCTAACACTGCACTTCTGGGGCCTGGAGACCAAGAGGGAGAGGCATGCTCATGGCTAAGTGCACATCACGGTAGCCAGAGCTTCTTCCTGGTATGAGAAGCAATGCAGACAAGGTTTGGGGGACTAGGATTGAATTCTGAAAGCATTCACATGGAGTACAGGGGACCTCCAACAAATGGTGACAAAAACTGTCTCAGGTGCTCAACAAGTTCTCAACCAGAATTTAGTTTCCCATCTTGAGATGTGAGAAGAACTGTCATTTATGGATGCAAATGTTCTTGGCTCTGTCCTCACTATTTTACATGTGTTTTCTCACTGAACCTCCCAATGAGGTTATGGAGAAGAAACTTTTTATCTCTGTTTTTTCAGATGAGGAAAATGAGTCTTGGAGTGTTTAAGCATGTTGCTTAAGGTTACAGAGCTGGTGAGAGACAGAGATGAGATCTGAACCCACCCAGCTCTGTCCCTGCAGACTGATTGTTTTATAACCAGTAACTACCAAGGTAATGCTGTGTTATAAATATCTCCAGGTATTGAATGAGACTGGGGTGAGGGGGCAGGTATGAGTTTTGAAATTCAAAACTCTCTTTCTTTAAAATCCTATCTCTGTTCCAAATATACTCCAGTGTGTGTATTTCAGGATGAGCACACATGCCTAATTTAAATCATGGCCTCCTGTTGGAAAGGCATCTTAACAGTATCTAGAAACAAAAGTAAAGAGGCCATAAATAGTATGTAACCCTTTAGTTGTGCCCATAGCATCCTGGGGGTTGGGCAGAAGTACTTTCAGTGTCCTTAGAAAGAAAGAGCTCTAAGGCAAGCCAGCCTTTCACTGGGTTAATACTGGCCTGATCTAAGACTGGGGCGAGTCGTTTTGCTAACCGAGTTTTCAATTTCTTTCCCTACTATTGCCAAGACTGCTAAGATTGCCCTGTGGCTTGGATTAGAGCTGTGGGTGGAGACCAGCTGGGAAGTGGCAAGGAGATGACCCTGCCTTCTCACCAACATGTGGAAACTAAATTCTAGGCACCAATGTCAACACCTCTTTTGCTTGAGAAGAACTTAACAGAATTTGAATTCCTCTTACCAATACAGAGATTAGAGGTATTATCCAGAAATGGCATCATCACAGATCATAATCCAAACCTAAAGCAGGAGGATCTGAAACAATGTTAAATCCATCCATGGCTGCTTCTGGACCACAGTGCACCCATGTGGTGCCCTAGCTTGGAATTAGAATAGGGCATCTCTCCCGCTAAGCAATACAGCCAGCCTGGTATCAGGGTTCATGACTTGATGAGTGGAGGGCAGCCTGGATTTTAGCTCTCACTGTGCGAAGTACAATAAAAAAATGACAGCCCTGACCCAGGTCTTGTCTTGGCTTCCTTGGAACGTTTTCCAGTGGTTAAAAGCACAAAGATGAAAGACACCTTCTCACTCAGCTTAAAAGGGAAGGAAGGGAATTCTGAGGACTCATTTCTTGTTGTTGAATTACTTAAATCCTGCAGCTCAACCTAGAAAGACTCAATCAAGAGGAGTTGTAGGAAAACCTCAGAACCATGAAAGGCCCAAGGCCACGTTCAAAAATCTTTCAAAACCTGTTAGCACGGAACAATTTTGTTTAGTTCACAAAATTGGCATTGACTCAGCCAATATCTTTCCTCTTAGCTTCATCTCTCAGCCTCATTCACAGCTCCTCCTGGCCCAGGAGGAAGGCATAGACAGTGCTTAAGAGGACAGGGCTATAGATTTAGGTTTAGAATTGGCCATAGTTCTTTGGAGTTGTGTGACCTTGGGCAAGTTACTTAAGTTCTCTGAACTCCAGTTTCTTCATGGGATTATCACAGCAAATAAATGGGATAATGATTTATAAAACACTTTACATTATGTTAGCTCTTTGGAAAATGGACAGTACATAATAGTCATTGTTAACCAAAGCAGTGCTAGAAAAAAGAAAGCAAGAGTGGTCAGCCTACCTGATCCTACTTTTTTTGCCTAAACACTCAGATAGGTTATGACCAATACGGTAAGAACTTTGAGAAGTACATATGATTAGAAGTTGGCATGAGCTACTTAGTCTTTCTTTACTTACAGAACATCTATATATAAGGCACTGAGTTAAGTAGTGCTGAAGTGGTGGTGAAGACAAAGATGAAAAAAACTCCTCTACCTTTGAAGAGTCTGCAGGCTGGTAAGAAAAGAAGTGGGCTTCTCAGATGGCACAGTAGTAAAGAATCTGTCTGCCAATGCAGGAGACACAAGAGACACAGGTTTGATCCCTGGGTCACGAAGATCCTCTGGAGCAGGAAATGGCAATGCACTCCAGTATTCTTGCCTGGAAAATTCCTTGGACAGAGGAGCCTGGCAGGCTACGGTCTCCAGGGTTGCAAAGAGTTAGACATGATTGAACACACACACCCAAGAAGAGAAGCAGAAAACAGGCATCTGTTATTACCAGTTTAGAAAAAATTCTGGAAGCATCTATCATTTTCTCCTTGCTCCATCCACCACCTGGTAGAAACAGCCTTTCATGTCTCATGACCTGACTTATCCTGGGTACAGTTGACTAGACCAGAACTAAACACCTGACCACACCAAGCCAGTAAGATTCTTCCCTGGGACTTTAAAATTGAGCACATCTGAATTCAGACTTGGGATTAAGTCTGTCATGATGGTGATGGGTACAGAACTCACAGTGATGTGAACTCAAGGCTGACAGAACTTTTAGCCTTGGGCACATCAACTATTAAGCAGAGAATTCCAGAGTAAAGCAATGATGGGAGACCAGGCAGCTCCAGAAAGAGATGGAGGCAGTAGCCCTTTTGGATTCCTTATTTTCTTTTATTTGCATTTTTAAAAATTTATTTATTTTTTATTGAAGTATAATTGCTTTACAGAATTGCTCTTTTGGATTCTTAAATGCTTTTCAGTTCCCATGAGGCTCAGCTATCCTTCCTTCAATGGGGTTTCATGAGTCTTCTCTTCTGATAAACCACTTTTCACCTGAGCAATCAACACCCCCTTGTTCTACAGAAGGGCTAAGTGTGTGGGATCCACTGATCAGATATAAAAAGCTGCCAAAGGCCATTCAGATATGATTCCTTTAATCAAAATAACTGCCTTTTAAAAGCCTGATTAGATTAACCATTTGGTTTTAATCCAAACAACTGTTTGGCAATTGATCCCATTTGAACAGATCCAGGAAAACTGGAGTATCCTCCCCTCTAACTCAGAGGACCTCAATGTTATATGATAGTAGACCATTAGGAAGAGTTCCCTGAAAAACACATACTTCTGGGGAAATAAACTGCCAAAAGTTATAGATAAAAGGAAAATGCAGTTAAAGCTCTTTAAGGCATTTTTAGGCCTGCCTTGTGATTTCTAGAGGGGCCAGTTGTTTGCTTTCAGGTCTTGGGCTTGTACATATGTACTTATTTTCAAGGCTGACTTAAGATACACTCTATGGCAGCACCGCCCAGCTGTGTAGAAGACAGGAACAGCTGGCCATCAATCCAAATGCAGAGTCCATCCAAAACATCTTTTTAAAAGGCACAAACATAATTACTTTCATCCAATCACCCTTTCTAAATATTCTGGGCGTGCTGGTACATTAGCAACATTATTTTGCCATCACTAAAGCCTCTAAAATTTAATTCAGGGAAGTCTATGAAACGGGTATGGCATTTGAGGAATATGTATATTGCCTGTACATCAATTGGCATCTTGGGACTACTCTGGGGCACAGAGGTCAAAGCTTAGTGATGCATGGAGTTGTCGTCCTAATGGTAAGTATTGATTAGTAGCCTCAGAAACAACCAGTAGGCACTCAGTCTTTCTCCAGCCAGACGCCAGGCTCCCAAAGAAGGAGTGTCTTTCCCAGTGAGCCTTGAAAAACAATGCATGGAACGCTCAAATCTGCCACACAGAGAGGCACTGAGAAGGTGAATGAGTGCTTCAGCAGCTTAAGTGGAAAATGATAAATAACACTATGAAACATCTGTTTAGCTATGATACCTGATAGGAAAGTACTCAAAACCAATAAATACAATTTTCATAATATAATATCATAAAGTATTAAAGTAAATACATTAATTTCCCACTGCTACCCAATTTACCCCAAACTTAGTAACTGAAAATAACACAAATGTATTTTCATACCTTTGTAGATCCAAAGTCCCAGTTGGCTGGACTGATTCCTCTGCTCTGGGTTTCACAAGGCCAAAATGAAGGTATCAGCAGGACTTCATTCCTCCTGGAGACATTTTGGATGAATTGCTTCCAAGCTCGTTCAGGTTTTTGGCTGAATTCAGTTCCTGACAGATGTAGGGCTGACCTCCCAGGTCCTTGCTGGCTGTCTGCTGGGAGCTGGTGTTTGCCCCTAGAGGCTGCCCATATTCAATCTTATTCTGGACACATTCTCCCCAGCACAGCAGTGGCGGGGTTCCTCTCACACTTCAAATCTCTCCAACTTTGACTTCTGCCAAATCTCTCTTACCTCCAGCCAGAGAAAGTTCTCTGATTTTAAGGCTTCATGTGATTCGACTGGGCCCACTGGATCATCCAGAATAATCTCTCTATTTTAAAGTTTGTAACCTTAATTACATCTGCAATTTCCCTTTTACCATGTGACCTAACATATTCATAGGTTCCATGGATTAGGATGTGGACATTTTGGGGTTTCTACTATTTGACCTACCATGATATACATACACTTTTCTATCCTGAAGAGCAGAGTTACAGGTGGACCAACATGGTGGGATCTGCACTGCAATCTGAGCAAAATGCATTGGATGGTGTGTTAGTCACCTACTGCTGCATAACAAATTGCCCCAAATTTACCAGCTTAAAACAAGTCTTCATTATCCCATGGCTTTCATGTGTCAGAAAACACATGCCGCTTACCTGACTGCCCTTCAATCTCTAAGGAGGTTGCCGTCAAGCTGTTTTCCACGGCTGCAGTTTAACGGGAAGGCTCCACTTAGGTGTCAAAGATCCACTTTCAAATTTATTCACGTTGGCAGTCCTCAGAAGATTCACCTCCAAGTTCACACAGATGGTTGTTGGCAGGCCTCTCCTCCCCACCATGTGGATCTCTCCATAGGATGTCTGAGGGTCTTCCCAGCATGGCAGCTGATGACCTGAATGAGGACCAGAGGCAGAGAGTGAGCATACCAAGAGGGGGTGAGAGAGGCTAAGATGGAAGCCACAATCTTTTTCTTTTAAGCCATTTTAACCATTTTGAAGGGTGTAGTTCAGTAGTATCAAGTGTACTCACATTGCTGTATATCGTATCTTCAAAACTTTTTTCATCTTGCAAAACCAACATTCTGTCTTTGTTGAACACCTCCCCATTTCCCACTACTATCAGCTCCTGGAAACCACCATTCTACTTTCAGTCCCTTAGAATTTAACTACTCTAGGTGCCTCATATAAGTGCAATCACAAGTATTGGGGTTTTGTAATTAGATTGCACTTAGGACAAGGTCTTCAAGTCCATCCATGTTGTAGTATGTGGTAGGAGTTCCTTCTTAGGGCTGAATAATACTCTTTTTTATGTGTATATCACATTTGCTTTATCCATTCATCCATCAGTAGGCATTTGGGTTCCTCCCACCTCTTGGCTATTTTGAATAGCATAACTGTGAACACGAGTGTGCAAGTATCTCTTTATGATCCTGCTTCCAGTTCTTTTGGTGATATACCCCAATGTGGGATTGCTGGATCAGAGTATTTCTATTTGGCATTTTTGAGGACCCTCCATCCGGTTTTTCACAGCAGCTACACCATTGAATATTCCCACCAAGTGTACATATAGGTCCCAATTTCTCCACATCCTCACCATCACATGTTGTTTTCTGAGTGTGTGTGTGTGTGAGTGTGGGTGGGTGGCCGTGTGTTTACAGTGACCCATCATATGAGGTGATAGCTCATTGTGGTTTTGATTTGCATTTCTCTAATAATTAGTGATGTTGAGTATCTTTTTATATGCTTATTGGTTATTTATACATCTTCTTTGGATAGAAGCTACATTTTTTGTAGAAATCTAAAATCATAAATAATATCTCATCAATTTTGTTGTATTCTGTTTATTAGAAAGGAGTCAATAAACCCAGTCCACACTCAAGGGGAGCAGAATGCCAGAAGCACAGGGGTGCTTCAGGGGGACCACAGGGGTCATGTTAGAGGCTGCTTTCCACAGATGGAGTATCCAAGTCCATAAAGAAGGGCAGTTCAGGCCTGCTGGGCACCAAGAATCTCTTCCTAAACTTTGGATTTGGTAAGAATCATTTGAGGAGCTGATTTAAAAAGCAGATTCCTAGGTTCCTGCCTCGGAGGTGCTAAATCAGTGGATCTTGTGTAGGACCCAGGAATCTGGGTTTTTAAACAACCTCCTAGGGATTTTTTTTTTTTAAGATACAATTCTCATGCCATAAAATTCACCCTTTAAAAGTATACAATTAGTAATTTTTAATATATTCACAAATTTGTGCAGCCATCAATGAGAATCGTTCCATCACCCCATAAAGAACCCCCTACTCATTAGCATTGCCTCTGCATTCCTCTCTCCCTCCAAACCCCTGTCTCTATGGGTTTGCCTATTCAGGATATTTCGCATAAATGAATTACACAGTATGTTGCTTTTTATGTTTGATTTTTCATTTTGCATAATGTTTTTAAGGTTTATCCATGTTGTAGCAGGTAGCCATACATCATTCCTTTTTATGGGTGAATAATATTCTATTGTATGGATTTACCACATTTTATTTATCCATTCATTAGCTGAAGGACCTAAGAGATGTTTATCAGAAGGGTAGTTTGAGAAAGGCTGCAATCTAAGTTTTACAGGGAGATCAAAAGCTGTTTGGATGTCTCAGATGCTCATAAAAATGCAGATTTCGAGACCCAATCCAAATCTCCTGAGTTAGAATCAGAGGACAGCCCAGAAATCTGTGTTTTAAACAAACTTCAAGAAGATTTTTTTTTACAATGAAACTCAGACTTTAGAGTGCAAGTGAGATTAGGTGGATAGCAGGGAAAGCGATTATTCCTTGTAAAATCATTGTTCCCAAGTGGCACCTTTTTCAAAAGTTTTTAAAGACAACGTGAAGGGATGAAACCTCATCATTGAAAATATGACTATGATGAGAAGTCTTGAACAGAAACTTCATGAACACAAATCTTGAGACACATAGAGGAGGCAGTCAAAGATGATGCCTCTTACTATTTTTCTTATTTTCTGTTTTATTTCTCTGTAGACCCTACCCTCTGGTCAGGCCTCAACCCCAGATCAGTTTCTTCTGACATAAGAATTTAACAAAATAGGTGTAATGTCATAGATTCTGAGAGCTGAGAACTTAGGAGCTTATCTTGTTCAGAGGCTCCAAACATGTATGATTATCCAGTGAGTTTTCAGGATTCTTTTAAAACCCCTTCTTTACAACACTCCTCTCCCCCACTCCAGCTGTCTAGATTTGATAGCTCTGGGATCTTGAAATCTATGGCTTCATGAAGCTACTCAGGTGAATCTGAGTGTCAGCCAGATATCTATAACCACTGGTCCAACACCCTCATTTTTCAGAGCAGGAAACTGACTCAACAGAAAACTGCAGGAAAGAACATTCCCTAGAATTTAGGTCCCTAAATTCTCATCGATAGTCTTGCAAACCTATGTTGTCAAAATGTCTAATCATTAGAGTAAAAACTACATCGAATTTGAGAATTTGGTTGCTGACACTGGAGTACAAGTCTACACACAAACAATCAGGATTTAACTCAGTCCTCCATGTTGTTTTGTTAGCTGGCCAATGACATGAAACTGTGAAAGAATGAACGATGAATGATGTGGTCATTATCAAGTTAATACCCTTTGGAATCAGCAGCCATTAGTACTTCAATTCTAGCGATATCTCTTGGTGGTTTGATTATCATTAAGATGTAGAAATTAGAAAACTTGGACTTCAGCCATATCATAAATATGGATAAAATGTTCACTTGCACTTATTTACCGTAAACCTGGAAATAACAACTTTCCGGCTCAACGGTTCTCCAATTTCACTGTGTATTGGAATCACCTGGGAGAGTCTAAAAATAGACCCTTGCCCAGTCCCATCCTCAAGACAAGAGAATCTAGGTCCAGAGCCGAGGCTCATGTATTTTTAAATGAAACTCCCCAAAATATTCCAATGCATGGCCAGGGTTGATAACCACTAGTGTAGCTCTTTGGATGTCTAATAAAGTAAAAAATAATTAGAAAAGTTTAAAATTTCACGTCATATTCCTGAAAAACATTTTCACCCTGAATGGGCTTATGAAGGATCTCATTCTGTGCTCCTACAGCTTAGGAATTATAATCAGTAACATTTGTGCCCTTCTTTGTAATTTACTAAGTGCTTTCGCATACATGTCACCACCCAGTTATGATTATTTATGAAGTGTCTATCATACCTTTTCTGCTAGAAGTTTAAGGTGGTAGAATCTCCTGTCCATTCTAAAAAGGACTCCATTAATGAGGCTTTTCTTTTTAGAATTTTAAATAAGTCAAAGGAAAAAAAAAGTCAGAAAACAGGGCAGAACTCTTTTCCACTGGAAAACTGTGCTGTAAGTAATGACACTGGAACACCTTGCATATTGTGTGTTGAGACTGAGCTAAATTCAGCCTCGGAGTTGAAGTAACAACAAAACAACATGGAGGACTGAGTTAAATCCTGATTGTTTGTGTGTAGACTTGTACTCCAGTGTCAGACTGTTGGAGTTGAAGTAATGATGAGAAAGGAACCAGGGGGGAAAAGTGAGTTCTGGACCAGGGCTTTTCAAAGTCTAAATGCATATGAATCAACTGGGGATCTTGTTTAAATGCAGATTCTGTTTTGGTAGGTCTCAGGTTGGATTTGAGATTCTGAATTTTTAAAAGGCTCCCAGGTGACACCAGTGCTGCTGGTCTACTGATCACAGTATGAGTGGGATGATTTTAGAATTAGGGACAGGCAGTTGGAAAGGGATCAGAAGATCTATGCCCCTATCTCTACCCCCAGGTTCTGGTACCAAGAGGCGTTGGAGAAAGAAGTCACTTCACCCCGCAAATTCTTAGATTTCTCATCCACAAATTGGGGTTGGGATACTGGTCTTGATCAAAGATGACAAATACTTAACCCTTGTGACTGCTCTGTCAGATGCTGTGGAAAGATGCTGGATCAGTCAGATGCTGGAGACAGGATGGACATGATTTCCAGTCCTCCCATCCAAAGAATGTAGGTGGGATCTTCAGGAAGACCTTAGTTAAGTTGTCACATGTTGCAAACTGTGACCCATTAACTCTCTAACATGGATCCGGTTATCAAAGCAATTAGGTGTAGTGAATCAAACTCGGTATGGATAAGTTGTAATGGGAAGAGAAGCCACAGAGAGGAGCCTGAAGCTCCCAGAGGCCCTTCAACAGGAAAGATGCTCAGAGAGGGCAGGAGTCCAGAGGCGGGGGAGCCACAGGGCATAGACTTAACTCACTTCCTAACATCCTGGTCCTGGGCATTACCATCTCAAACCTTGGGCTTCAGCTTCAGCCCTCAAACCTGGACTTCCACTACAGAAGGGACTTCTCCAACCCAACCGAAGCAGAAGATAAGAGATCCCTAGAGGCAGAGCCTGCTCACCTTCTCCCTCAGGACCCAGGTATCCTTTCCAGCTCTGGCTGGTCCTGACTGGTGCTGAAAGTGAGCTTCCAGGACTTCCAAGGTTGGGGTAGGGGTGGCACTCAACATCATTTTCTGGAGTTGTGCTCCAGCATCTTGTAATTTCACAAGGAGATGATTCTATGTCCATGAATAGAAATGCAGTTCGGTGGAAGCTGTCCAGGGATAAAACTGATCAATGCACTCCTCAGGCAAAATCTTCAGTGGTCGTGTGACTGGCACTGTTCTCAGATTTTCAAGGTTAAAAGAGATACTCCCAGAGGGAAAAGTATGTATACTCAGATACAGACAGTGTGCCAAGGCACCGTGCTAGCAACTCTCACTTTTCTCTCATTGAAGCAACACAACACTACAAATTTTGTTATTTTTCCCATTTTACAGATGAAGAAAGCAAGGCTCAGAGAGGTCACCAAACTCCTGCAACTTGCACAACTGAAACGTACATGACATGG